AGAGAGAGAGAGAGAGAGAGAGAGAGAGAGAGAGAGAGAGAGAGAGAGAACAGAAAAGCTATGATGTTCTTCTTTCCTTTAACAAAAGCTTAATGAATGCTTACTGTATACTAAGCACTGTTCCAGGCACAGGAAATAGAAAAATGAAAAAAATTAAGTGTCTCATCCTTGTGGAACTTATATTCTAGTAGAAAGAAGATAGCAACAAATAGTAAATTGAACAAATAAGTAAAGCATATGGAACATCACACGGGTGAGTGCTGAACAAAGGCAGAACAGCAGGGGAAATGCAAACTGGGATTGCAGAGGTGCTAGCATTACCAGTCAGAAAAAGTGGCCATTTTTTAAAAGGAGGGATTCTAGATAGGCTGACTAGACCTCAGTGGACAAACTTGCACTAAGGGACATCTGGGGATAATAACTTGACATGAGAGGCCTTAACACAATGACAGAGTGTATGAGCTCTAGTTGGGGGGGGGCTATGGGAGGTGCCAAAGGGGAAGAGAGAAGGGGTGTAAAGATGATTTTTCATATGTAAAAATAAATAAATAAATAAAAAATTAAAATTAAAAAAAAGAGTAGAAATACATAAGCAAGCAGGGGAGTGAGAAAAGGTGAATTAATCACTTCCCCAAACCTCAGGTGAGTAGATGGACTTTAGATTACCCTGTAGAAATCCCCAAAAGTTTCAGGTTTAAGAGTACCATGGTGTAATACCAAGTTTTTTCCTGTATAAAAACAGTACTAATGAGGAAGTAAATAGCACATATTAAATCAACATAAACTTTACCAAGACACACTCTGGAACAATGATCCATTTTGAGAAAATCATCAATACTTCTATGTACTCTTCAATACTTAGCACGATAGGTCCTACATTGTGGAGACTCAGTCACCTAACTGTATTAGGTCTCCCTATCCCAAACTCTTCTTAGTCCTAATTCTAGAAAACAGCTCAAAAGAAATCTCTTTTTTAGTCTATATGTGTTATCTTTAAATGGGAAATGATATATATTCTATTTGGCTTTCATTTCCAATGGAATGCCAATATGTGGTATATTATTTTCCTTTTCATTCCTAAATAACATTTTATAGAATCATATCCTTTGACTTAGGAATACACACAGATAAATCTCATGTAAAATGTTTCATTCTAGAATGCATTGTTAATTAACATACCTTGTAGACAAAATGACTACCAATGATGGCATCGAAGAGTGTGTACAAATTATTCAGACGGTCTACCACCTCAATGGGCTCACTCATGGCTGAGATTATGGTGAAGTCCACAATGTCAGTGAAGTACAAGGTGACCAAGTCAAAGCCCTCAGGTTCAACTGTGCAACCCTTTTTGAGGGATTCAGCAACTGATCTGGAAAGCAGACATAAGTATTTCTAAGACGAGATCAGCCTCCCTATAATGCCACACACCTACTAAAAAACAATTTCTCTAAAAATCACTGTCAAGTAAATGATAAGAAAGAAACTTCCACCTGGATAAACCATTAATTAGTTCTTTCATTCGAGTACATAGTGAGTGTTAACAATGTGTCATGGACTGTGCCAGGTGCTGCCATATAACATTGAAAAGACAGACCTGATCTGTGCTTCCATGGAGGGTTTTCAGGTCCCAGAACTTTGGCCTTACCCACGCTCTTTGCCCAAAGTTCCCAGGTGGTCACCTTCCATGAGACTGCTTTCACCAATTATCTTGTAGAAGACTATGTTACTTGGAGAAAATGGAAACCATAGCAAGAGATAAAGTTTTCATCTAAGAAAGTCCCCTTAGAAACACAGCCCTACTTCTTTCCTCCAGGAGCTCAAGAAACTGCCATTTTAAAAACTGACCAACCTCCTAGTCAAGACATAAAGTGTCATATAGAAAAAGCAAGTCCCCAAAATGTAAATGACCAGCATGTTGCATGGGTAATAGAAAATTAGGATGTATATTCTGCCCCCTTGGTTTCCAAGTCTACTCTGATTTGAAGGCATGACTCAAACCCACTGGGAATAGTGAGGGCCAGGGGATTCACACTCCTCGGGTGTTCACACATATGGTGGTAACATCTGTGTTAGAAGCTTTTCTGTCTTCTGTTTTTCAATTTCCAGCTCTTCAGTCCGTTCCTGGATCAAATCTTCTAAGTTACTAGAATATTGTTCCAACATTCGAAGCATAGAATGAATGATGTTAGTCTTTTTCCCTTTGTTGAAAGTTTTAAACTGAAAGCAAAACAGAAAGAAGAGACAATGAACACTAGATACGTTCACCATCCTCCAGGAGATAGGCACACACTCAACAGCATATTAGTAGGACAAATTGGACTTGGTGGGCCTTTAAAAAAATAGAGGACATGAACTGGGGAGAGCAGAAAAGTCGAGGTGGATTTGAGGGTAGATGCGGGAGGAGGTCTGAGTATGCTCAAAATGCATTGTATGACATTCTCAAATAATCAATAAAACTATTTTTTAAAAAGAGGAGTCAATGAATGCATGCTCCCCAAACTCAGAAATGATAGAGCAGGCTTCATCACAAGTCTTTCCCCTAAAGTGCCACAGAAGGTAAAATGAACCCAGATATAATAATAAAGGTCAATACCTAGTCTCATTATCACCCTGGCCCATTCACAGGGCTCTTCCATCCCACCCCACCCTCCCACCCCACCCAACTCGTTTTCCTACTCTTCTGTTTCTTTCAAATCTGAGCAAAAGAGCTATAGGTAAGCTCCTTCTCTTCTAAGAGGCTGTATCAATAGTAGTCGTTTTAAAGGCAACAGGATCTGTTCCTCAGCTCAGGTCAGTTATAACATAACAGGAAAAAGAGGGCAGGAAGTGATGTTTTGTCATTCTAAATTATCAACCTATGAAATCATCTTTATCTTCAAATGCTACAGTGTTGTCACTTTGGAGGTATCTTGACCACTTAGAGAGTTCAAAATCTAGATGGTAAGATTTACTGCTACTTCCTAGCATGAGGTCCAATATTAAATGGTTCTACCTTGTACCTGCCATTCAGGTCAGTCAAGGTCATTCAGAAATTCAGATGGTCTTATCCTATCCTCTTCCCTGATCCCTTAAAGGTAGCTGCTTGGCACAAATGTTCAGAACACCCTCCTGGGAGCCTGTCTATATATAAAGAGCTCAGCATAAGCACTATAATCATGAGCAGGCAGGTCCCTCCATACTGTCATAGTCAACATCCCCATGGTTATGTTCATAACAGTAACATATTGGTAGTAGTTTTGGTGAGCAGACCTTGAAGGCTCTGCCCAACAAACTGTATGTAGCTGGACTACACATGCTCCATGTGGTAAACCCTATCCCAAAGTGAACAGCATGAGCTTCCCTCTGGACCTGGTCCCAACTACATGTTCACCAAGGTCCTCAGAGGCCAGTTCAGATCCACTGGGTTCCCTATATTGCCTCACTTAGGGAACTTCATTCATCTCTTTGAATTTTAGTTGTTTTAACTGCAGAAAGTTAAGAGGATAGCCTTGCCATCAGACAGGCTAAACTTCCACTAAAACATTTTAGTCATGGTATCCCCAGTAACACTTTCTTTGAAAGTCACATGAGGGCCACTCCTCCTAGCCCTCAGCAACTTCTTTGCTGCCTTCTGAAATAACATCTTTTGCATCAACACAAGGACAAATGCTTTTTCTACTGCCTCATGGTAAGTTTTCAGAAATGTGACCTTTATGGTCCTTTGCTTTTTCCATACTATTGAACACCTGCTTGAGTGTCCTCAAGAAACCCAGCCAGACTAATGGAAGTATTGTTAGCTGGAGGACACGGATGACTTCAGAAGCAGGGCCCCTGAGGCTTTCAGTCCAACTCTTTCTCTTTTCCGCCTCAGATACCTGCCAGTCATAAAGTATCTCAGGGTGCTGTACTCTAGACAGGCTCAGAAGCCTCTCTGCCAGAACTGACGCAGCACTCATGGAGAACATTCACAACTTCTATATCCTGTAACTTCAACAAAGCTTAAAGTGCCTGTTTCGACAGAGGAACTGCACCCTGCCTTCCTTACCAGGAGCCCTAGTCTTTCCTCCACCCCTTCCTATCTCCAAATCTAGGAAAAATACCAACCTCTTTAGAAAGTCAACATTTGAGGGGTTACCACTTTTCATGCACCCGTTACTGTCAGTAGCTCCACTTTTGACTTCCCCCTTATATTATCAAGCTATAATTCTTTGTATATTGTTTAAAGTGTCCACTATGAAAATTTCTTATGTTCTGACTGCTATAAACTATGAAAGTAGAGATAGTTTTTACCCCCTTTAGGGCCTGGAGTGCAGCAAAGCGCCAAGTCAGTGTTCAAATTTTGTTTTCGGCATATTCGTTCCCTTGCCCTACATAGTGGCCCTCATCACTGTCTCTCTTGTATTGCCCTTAAGGATGCACATAGCTGCCTATTCCACTAGTCTGTGAACTCTTCTAGGGAAAAGTCAAGATTTGATTCATGGTTTGTACCATTCATATACTGAACACAGTGCCTAGTATAGAGTAGACGCTCAATAAATATTTGCAGAACCAGGCTAAAGGTATCTTCTACTTTTGCATTCCACATGAGCATCCTTTCAAGCACCACAATTTTTGAGAATTTTATACATGAGTATTGTATTTATAGCATTTTCACCACTTCCACTCCACCTTCCATGTCTTCCCGTGTGCCCTCCTCTTCTCTGATTATTATTGTAATATATACATGAATAAATTTATAAATATATACTAGATATAATGCACTGAGTCTATTTACTGGTGTTCATGTGCACCTGTGTTTAGAGTTGTCCACTTGGAATTAGATAACCTCTCAGGGACCTAGTCACTGGAGAAAACTGATTGTCCCTCAACATTCATTGATAGCCTGTAGTTCTTCATCTAGAGGTAGGATCCTGTGACATTTCCCCCACCCATATTGACATGTTGGCTAGTTTTGTTTTCAATACAGGTCTTGTTAGGAAATCAAAGTGTAGAGATTTCAAGGTGCAGCTTCCCTTTCATGCCTAGAATTATCTAGCAGCAGGCATCCTGTTCATCTGGCTCTTACAGTCTTTCCACCTTAGGAGTCCAAACAGCACATATTTTTCCAAACCCTAAACAAACAATCTGGTATGCTCTAAATGGTACTCTCATCAGAGTTCCCTAGAAAGTTTAAAGCAAACATGGCAATACCAAGGTCTATCCTTGCAAATGGTTACTAGCTGAAGATCATCATTGAAAAGCTGCTTTGGAAAGCTTGTAAATGGCCTGGAAAAGAAGTTCAGACACAGAAGAGCACCAGAACCAAGTGATGGGTTCTTCAAGTGCTCATGATGTTCCGGCCCCTAGGACCGCAAAGCTAGCCCCAGGCTTCTTTTTAAAGAAGAATGCCCTTTACCCTTGTAAGCAGCCCCTTCCACAATGTGAGGACCCAATGAGTTTAGCTTTGGGGAGGTTGGCTTCTGAGCACTGGTAACATTAATAGATTTACCTGGTTAAATATTTCATCAAAAGTTGGTCATTGTTCTGCAGCCTCAGCCCAGCACTTCTTCATCAGCTGAAGACATTCCGCAGGAGCAAACTCAGGAGGAACAACTGCTCTATACACCAGGGGAGGCTTTTTAATTCTGTCTACGATTCTGACAAGACACAAGAAGAAAAAGGTTTAGTTAAAAAGTCATGGGTAATGTATCATGATTTAACAAAGATAACTGAGTTTCAGCCATTACGGGATTTGTCAAGAGAAAATATGGTGGGAATCATTTTTTTTTTAATTTCTCGTTAGGTGACGTTAATGCTGACAGTGACTGAGAAAAAACCATGTCAAACTACTGGGAAGGGAGAGAGAATTTGATCAATTCGTCTATCAGCATAATTTAGAATAGCTTTATACTGTTTCTGCTGGGTCATAGATACAGCTTATCCTGTGTCAGTTCCAGTGCTGCAACTTCAGTGTCCTGGACCACTCACTTGCTCCCAAGTTATCTAAGCCTCACAATCCCCACAATAGAGCCACTGAGGTTTCCCTGTAGGCCTACATCCAGCTAAGGTCCATGCATTGGGCCCTGCGTGTTCTCTAGACAAAGGGAATTTTGAACAACAGTGACCAGTTCAGGGCCAGGAGCTAATCAGTTATTTTGTAGATTACCTTTCAACTGGGATTCATCTGAAGCTCCCTAGTGATTAAATTTAGGTTACCCTTTGCTTTGCTTTGCTTTTGTTTGCCAAGAACAACATATCACAAAGATTATGTATCTTTTTTACTATATGATGTCAAGGGTATATGATGTAGCTGTGTCTTTTTTAAATTTTTTAAATATATTTCAATTATTATTTATATTTTCATGTGTATGAGTGTACTGCCTGCATGTGAGCAAGTGCACCCATGTCATGTAATGCCCACAGAGGTCAGAAGAGGTTTTCAGATCTCCTGGAACTGGAGTCACGGATGGTTGTTAGTCACCTTGTGGGTGCTGGGAATTGAACCCAGGACCTCTGCAAGAGCAGCCAGTGCTCTTAACCACTGAGCCATCTCTCCAGGCCCATGGTTGTGTTTTATGATGGGTGATGGTAACCTTGATCACTTGGTTAAGGTGGTGTCACATGGAGCCTCAATTATAAACTTACTGTTTTTCCATTTGTAATTACTAAGTATCTTGTATGCGCATAGTTGGAGAATATGAAGGTATCTTGATGGCCCTAAAACTTTAGTCCACTGATTGCGTTATTCATTGATGAATTGTACCTGATAATCATGTGTTTCAGTGGGAAAGTTGACATCCAAGAGTATCATGAGTAGTACTGAAGTACTTAGCAAGAAGCATCTCAGAGGCATAGAGGAACTATAGCAGGGGGAGGGAACAGACTAGAAAATTGACATAAGTTCAAAAGCCCTTGATTTATATCAGAGTTTGTAAAAACACCAGCTCTCAGGATGAATTTCTTCCAGATGCCTAAAGCTGTCTGGCCCCAAGCCCCAACCACATACAAGAGCCTAGCACTTGCAGACTAGCAGGCTTTTAGCACTGTCTTCTGGCAAATCATCATAGACTAGGCTGCCTTGATAATATGGGACACCGTGGTCTCCTGGTGCCCTTTTCTCACATCCCACTTACCTTTGGCAGGCAGATCCATACCGCAGAAAGGGGTACCTCGAACCATCACTTCTTGCATGATGGTGGCAAAGCTATAGACATCTCCTGCAAAGGAACCTAACTTGCTGCCCCTAGGGGCTCACAACAGTTCAGGGGCTGTCCACAGCAACTCTGCAAAGAAAGAGTTGTGTAATAAATGCAGGGAGGATTAACTGACATCTGTAATGCCCTCAAGGGCTCTGAGGGTGCTGTTTTATTAACTGCTTTATATTTTTATTAGACAGACTGGCATGCCTGTGCCCCTCAGGGTCTGAATCTATTAATCTGAAGAATCATTCACAGAAAAAAACATACTACTGTCTCAACCCCCAGGACCATGAAGCAAGATGTAGTGGTGTGGGGAAGGACAGGAAGCTTGAAGTCGAGACACTATCTGGCGCTTGCTTTCTTACTCTCTTTATCCTGCAAGTAGCAGCTGGCAGGTTTCCAGGGAAAGGCAAGGGCACTGCCAGACTGGTTGCCATGGATTTTCTCTTTGCTAAGATCTATATGTGTCTGGTAATTTGATTTTGCCGGGTCTCAGGGATTCACAACTTGCTTTCTTCAGGTCTTCTATGAAAGGATTAGAAGACCCTCAGGCCTCCTGTGTGTCTCGCAGAGCAAAAAGATGTAGCAGTTAATTTAGCCCGGTTCTGCAAATATTTATTGAGGGTCTACTCTATACCAGGCACTGTGTTCAGTATAGGAATGGTACAAATCATGAATCAAATCTCAACTTTTCCCTAGAAGAGTTCACAGACTAGTGGAATAGGCAGCTATGTGCATCCTTAAGAGCAATACAAGAGAGACAGTGATGAGGGCCACTATGTAGGGCAAGGGAATGAATGTGCTGAAAACAAAATTTGAACACTGACTTGGCGCTTTGCTGCACTCCAGGCCCTAAAGGGGGTAAAAACTATCTCTACTTTCATAGTTTATAGCAGTCAGAACATAAGAAATTTTCATAGTGGACACTTTAAACAATATACAAAGAATTATAGCTTGATAATATAAGGGGGAAGTCAAAAGTGGAGGTTGTGTTTGGGGCTGAACCACATATCCACTATTTCTGTGGGCTGAAAAATTGTTGAATATGGGTAATTTCATTGGCTTTAAACTAACAAACATCTAAGTTGATAAAACTAATCCAGGAAGGCTTCCTGGAAAAGTTAAATCTCAAATGTGCTCATTAAGAAGGTCAAGGATGCAGCTTTCTGGAACTGAGAGGTAAGGACTTTGCAGGGAGAAAGAACAGTATGTGCAAAAAACAAGAAGCAGAAAGGAGCAAATTGCGGGTGGTGGGAGGGTGGTAAGCAGATTAGTTTGGCTGAAGAGAAGGGCTCTGTTAAGGAATAATGAGAAAGGAGAAATGGGATTGATGAAGTGGGGGAGGGAGGGTGGCTGAAAGAATGGGGGCAGAAGGTGAGAGGCCCTGAGAGCCAAATGAAGGCATTTGGAGTGAATACAAAAGGCAGTAGGGGTGCTGAGCTAGAGAGGCATTTGATGAAAGCCTTGTTTGGGAAGATTAATCTGGCAACTTGAACAAGCTGGATGGAAGGACGGAGAAGCTGGAGTCAGGGAGATCAGCTACTAAGTGTAGTGAGAGTCTGCATGGAGGTGAAAGGGGCTGGAGTGGGGGTGGCAGCGCAGCAGCAGAGACAGAAATGCTGGGAGACTACAGTGGAGAAGGAAGTGACTCGGTTGGGCACCTGTTCCAGGACTTCATGAAGGAGAAGGAGTTGGAGTAAACAAGTAGATATCCAGATTTCGAAGCTGAAGAAGAATGTCTGCTAAGGGTACAGAAACCAGGATGCATTAGGAGGAGGGCCGGGGCCATGTTCCTAAGAATCAGGAAGGTGGGTGGAAATCAGACATTATTCGGTTTGGTAGCAAATCTAGGAAAGATTCTTATTTTAAGTCAATCATAAATAGACTGGCATAAGAACTTCTACCTACATTATTCATCATGTGCCATCTTCTAACTTTGCTTTTCAAGTGTCTGTCCCCCCAGCAACACACCTGTCTGTCCATCCAATACCTACTTAGGTCTATGAAAGTTTCTGGTTACACTCACTCTGGTGGTCTTGTTCTTAATATCTCCTTGCCTAGGAAAACTAATATTTACAAAAATAATGAAAAGATGAAAGGATACTTTAGTCAAAGGAATGCATTCTCTGGGAATTCAGGCACTATGGTAGAAGAGGGAGAGCAGGAGTATTTAAGAGCAAAAAAAAAAAAATGGTACTCGGCTACTTCTTCCCAGCATCCTCTTCTTGCACATTTAAAAGCACAAGAAAAGAGCAAAACTCTCTGGCAAAAAGCTAGGTGATTAAATACAGTCATTACCAAATAGTACTTTCAGAGAGCACCGACACCTACGTTAATGGCTAAAATGAGGTTGTATCTGCACTATACTTATATAGTTGAGAGTGGACAGTAATGAACACACTTATAACCCACCCCCACTTCCTCCTGCCCACTCCAGAACCAAGTAAGAGCCACTAGAGCCACTTACTCCCATTAGACATAAACTGAGAGAAAAACTAGAAAATATTACTTTGGCCTGTTTGTCTCAGCTGCAGCCACTACTTGCCCTGAGCTTCTTGTGTTAATCAAATGAATTTTTAAGAACCAGCCTGACATAGCTTAAAAGGACAGAAAGTCCTGAAAGTCAAAAGGCCTGGGTTTATAAATCCAAGCTTGACTGCTAGTCAGTTCACCTTTTTGAACCTTAGTTTCCCTTCCCACAAATCAGAAGTTGGACCAGATGGTGCTCAGAAGTCTTCCAATAATTACAAGACTCTATTTAGTCTCATTGTTTAAGATAAGGGAGTAGTTCTTTCATTAAATTTTATCTTATTCATTTACTCAATGAATATTCTGTCAGATACTACGAAGTCACTGAGGGAGTCAAACCTGTTTCTTAGGATCATGGGGTTTATCCTTGGGATGTGGGGGATAGATAGCTGAATAAATGAGTATTACTAAAAAGTATAGTACCATAATAAATTTTGGGACCTTAATGATCTTGAAGAGGGCAACTTAATTGGGCATGGGGAGTGAGCTCCGGATGCAGTAGTACTTACGTCGAGTCCTGAAGGAGTAGAATTTTCCTACACTCAGGTAAGTGTTTATGACAAAGTGAGAAAGGAAGACTATCCCAGGCAGAAAGCACAGCCCTGTGCGAAGGGCTCGAAGTAAGAGAGCCTGGTGTAAATAAATCATTTGAACGAGTTTAGCAGGGATGGAGAAAAGAGATAGAGGAGAAATGGTTAAGCATGAGACTTTGGCAAGACCCAGACAAAGTAGGACTCCTATGCCATGTAAAGGAAAGTGACCTTTATCCTAAAAACAGTGGGAAGCCATTCAGTGACGCACACCTGTAACAAAATCAGATTTGCATTTTAGAAAGCTCCCTCTGGCTGCAGTGTGTGAGTAACAGACTGCAATTTGGAGAGTGAAGTGAAATGATAAGAGGGAGAAACCAAGGTATAGACAGAGACAGTATACACACACACACACACACACACACACACACACACACACACACACACAGGAGATATACTTACCCATTCTGAGACCAAATGTCCTTAAGGTTGAAAGTTTTGCCAGTCTGTGTATGGATTAATGAAACTCTGGAAAATTAAGAATTGTGTTTTACTTTTTCTGAATGCCTAATTTTGGCAGAATGCCTAATTTTGTCTGCCATGACTGCATCTATTGCCCAACATCCCATCCTAAAGCAAGGCAAAAGGCAAGCTCAAAGCTGTCAAACTAGAATTAGACAAGTAATTAGCACACAATGATGTCAGGAACAAGGAGAGGGAGAGATAGAATATAAAATCTTTCACTGTGATTTTCTAAAGTTTCAACTTTTTCAAAGCATGGATGGATAGAGAAAGAGGAAGTTAGGTTTTGTTGGCTGGGTGAAGACCTGAACTTCAATCTTAGAGCTGCTGTGAGGTCACTGTATGATTTGAGAAAATCGTAAGTGTCCATTATCTCATCTGTAAAATGAGAGAGTTAAACTAGTGACTTCCTACGATTTACTGTTGTATCCATTTGGGGGAACAGCAAATACAATGTCATTAATGGCTGACTGTCCATCTTTGTCTGAGCATGTGGCTTTCTCTGTTTTTCATTGTCCTTGTCTCCTGTGTAGTGAAGTCAGCAGTTTTCAAATTCATAATGCCAACGATCCTCTTAAAATATGAATACAAGGTTGTCATTTTCTGTCCTCCATCTTCTGAGAGTTGTCTGCTTCTCTGTGTTTTGCTCTCTCTCTCTCCATACACACAATATTAGTTAAAACTTTTAATGCCCAAGTTTTCTATATGTATTTTACTCTGTCCATCTTCACTTCTTTACCTTGCTTCTCTCCTGTCAATTTGTTTCCCTGCTGTTCTCAGTCCCTCATATCAAATTTCTCCTTTATTTTTGATCTATTATGACCCCTCAGTGTATTACTTAGTGCTTCCACTGCTATGCTAGACAGAAGATGAAAATGCAAAATGGATGTCACAGGCATAGCTGCTTATTTATTTGTTGTGGGGGGCAGGGGGCGCTCCTTGCTTCTTTTTCTCTGAAAGACACAGTGCTGGTATGCTCTAGTGACATCCTATTCTAGAATGTACTTGGTGGGGGTCCAGCTTCCAAATTACTCTCCATTCAATCTGACAAGTATTTATTGAGCACCTACTGTGTGCCTAGCACTCAGCAAGATTCTCCAGGGACTGCTGGAGTGCCCAAACAATACAGCCTAATCCTGCCACAGCAGGAATTGAACATTATTACATGGGCTTTGTTTGGAAGGAAAGGCTGGGCTGCATGCAGAATTCATTCAAGTTCCTTGGCTTGGAAATGAGGCTGCATTTGCAACAAAAGGCAGGGAGTTGAAATCAGTGAGAAACTTTAATTCAATGCATATTTTCATTTGAACCTTGAAGTTACCTTCTACGCATCAGAAGGGCACACTCCATTGCTTGCCTTCTACTGGAGGCTCCTCTTCTGAGCATCACAGCATTTCTAAGATATCATTAATGACATAGTCTATAACTTTTAGTACAAAATGCCCATCTACCACACAGTTCCGAGACTTTAGCCTCCCATGAATAAACTCTCTGTGGTGTAACTACTTCATTCCCTGAAGATGATACAAAATTTATTTAGTAACTCATTTAATTATTTTGTGCTTTTAGAGCCAATTTCTAAGATTGCTAATGGCCTTAGCTATTCTGATCCAGAATTCAGTCCTTTTCTGTTATTAGAGGCAAAGCAAAACTTTGACAAGATATTTAGGTTTCTTCTAGCTTTAAAATGTTTGGTTTTGATTAAGAATCATATGTGTTTATTGAGAATTATGTGCTACTGAGAGATTTATTGACATTTCAGGTACAGGATGGATCCATACACATGTAATTGCTGGGAACTGGGAGATTCTGATTTTACTCAACAGGTCTAATGCAACTCTCAGTCTGTTATTATCAGGAGTGGAAACTGGTATGGCTTTTGGAGTTGGTAATTTGGCAAGGCCTATGAAATTTTTAAATATGTATACTGTTTATGTTTGCATTTGTATGTTTGCATGTGTATGTTTGTATTTGGGCACAAAGAGACCTAGAAGACTGCTCATTGCGGCTTTGTTTATATAATAGAATATATTTGGAAACAGTGATTATCAGTAAGGGTTGGATAGATTTATCATACATCCTTACCCTTGAATGTTCTGTGGTACTTACTAAGAATAAGGTAGATCTGTACGTACTGACACTGAAAGAACTGTAATCCATACGGTAAGCAAAAAATAAAGAGCAATGTGATGGGATGTGTATTTAAAACCAAACAAAAATGGCATGCCTAACGCACGTAAATAAACAGGAACTATATTTTCAAACCTAGTTTCCAATTTGTAAGCAGAAGCTAACTAACGTCAGGGTGATGAAGGAAGAGGGTTGAGTGAATGCCAATGCTTTCACCACATATATTTATAGCACTTGATTTTATACGTTAATTTAATATTTTCTATTTTCTAAATTTCAATGCTTCTCTTTAAAATAATATTTTTACTATTTTTTTGTGAATTTCAAACAATGTGTTTTGATCATATCCGTACCTTCTCCCACTGCCTCTCAAATGAAAAATAGATAGCAAAATGGAGGGAAAACACGTCAGTATTTATGATCTCCGGGGTTGCTTGGGAGCCTTTACACAACTTCAAATGTGATTCACCAGGACTCTGTATCAGATGGGTTTAATCATTCTGCACATAAATGCATCCATATTCTATAGCAGTCATCTCAGAATTATTTATGCCAACTCTCCTTTTCGTTATGGAATTCTGCTTTGCAACTTGACACACTTTTCATGCACATGCTTCGCATCTTGTTCTCACAAAAAGGCAGCACTCTTCAGTCTTCCCAAGCAGAGTCTAAAATGGGCAAGATTTCCCCCAGGATAGCTAATGCTCAAGTATCACTTATCACAGGCCCAAGAAGAGAAGACTTTCATTTAGAGACCTAAACTCACTAGGGTTTGCTGACAGTGTGAGTAGAAAGAACACTGGAATGGGAATCAGAAGGTTTGCATTTGCATTTGCCATGACAATGTTAACCATTATAGCATTCTATTATCATCTCTGCCACCTAATAGTCAGCTGATTAAACACTAAGTACCTACCATGTGTGCTAGAAACTGCATGACAAAGGGCATGTGTCTCATATAGCTTCTCTGGGACTACGGGGTGTTGGGAAAGTTAATCATACACATCTTATAAAGAATGAGAATGAGATATTGTCTTCCCCTTCCATAACTCCTTTAAAAGGTTTAAGTCACTATATAAAAGTCAAGACAGTGATTAATAACTATATGTATAACTCATCAAATAATTTATTACACAGACTACTAGCTCCATTAAAATCCACATACATAGTTGGCATGTCATTTCACAGAGTTCATAGGCTCTGCAGAAGCTCATCCATGAACCTTTCCATAAACTCCCACATTTGTCAGTAGTCCTTGACACACAAAATGGAGGTGTTTCTTTATGAAACCAGTGGTCACTTGTCATTGCAGTGGCACTGAATTCCACATTCATACCTAAATATGCAAAGTTTCATCATCTAGTTCTAGAATGAGACAACTTTTAGAAGATGAAAGCTAGTAGCTGGGGCTAATAATGCTAAAGATTCTAGAAATGAATACTTCCTTACATCCGCAAAGCAGAGAAATGGAATATGGCTAAAGGCAGAAGAGGGCTTGATGATAAACAGGACAGTAAAGGAAAATCTGGCCCTCATACTGAGGAGAAACACAAGCACATACTTTCTGTAGCAATACTTTTTAACACACATGGACAAAAGGGTAAAGAAGGGCAGAGGTGAGGCTATAATGATCTGAGTGAAATAAAACAACTCACAATCTTAATTTGATAACCTAAAAAAATTTTTTTTTGTCTTTTTGAGACAGGGTCTCCCTATAGCCCCAGCTGTCTTGGAACTCACTATGTAGACCAGGCTGGGCTTGAACTCACAGAAATCTGCCTGCCTCTGCCTCCCGAGTTCTGGGACTACAGATATGTGCCACCACGCCCAAGTCTAAAATTTCAAATCTATAAGGAAAATCCAAAATTCCCTTAGTCTTCCCATTAACCTTGATGAGGTCCAGCAGTAGTGAAGATTTAAATACCCAATCGAGTTTTACATCATCATTTGTCAGCATGTCTTCTCGGCTCCTTCTAGAACAAAATTCTGTCACAGTGGCAAACATTCCCACATCATAGAAGAAGCCCAGTAAAGGGTTAATATTCTCACGTCACAGGTCTTTTATCTGCAAAGAAGAGGTAAAGATAAGAACCACAACCATTATGTCTCACTTGGGGGATAGAGTTGAGGGCACATATCCTTCCCTTCTTCCTGCTGATTGTTGATTCTACTAGGCAGAAAGATACAAGGATGTGTATGTGCAAAATGTCATAATGAAGCTTCTTACTTGTATACTGGCTAAAGTAAATATGTAAATAAATAAAGTGTAAGAGGTTGAAAATCAAACAATAAGTAAAATGTAATAACTGTTCCAAAAGAGCTCACATTCAATGTATAGGAAAGTGATCTGAAAATTATATTTTATCATGAAATGGGTTCTAAAAGAAGAGATCATGAGATGTTGAGAGAATTCAGATCTTAAATATCTAATCTGGACAGGCAGTGGGAGAGACAGGTTTCAAAAGAAGCTTCACCAGGGAACTGATATCTGGCCTGTATTGAAAGACATGAAAAAGTTAACTAAGTAACATGATAGAGGGGCCAATAATGACATACTTCGGAGTTGAGGAAACTACAACAGGTTTAGTTTTCCCAGAACAGAATGCAAGGGAGAGAATATGAAATATCAAGATAGAGAAATGAACAGGAGCTACAAGCCATAGAACAGCTATCATTTCTCTGTCACATAATTTCATAATTTCATGGAGATCTATGGTATGGAATTTGAAATTTGTATTATAGGCACTAAATAATTGCAATCTATTAATATTCCTATTAAATATGTGTAAGAGAGGAAAAATAACCCTCCCGTAATCATTTTCACATTGCAAGTTGTGTTCCTGAGTAGATAGTGGTGTTGTACATCAAGACAAGAGATTTAAGGAAAGTGAGCAAATACTCTGAGGCTCCACCCATAGCCTGTTTACTCTTCACCCCCAGCTGCTATGAATGTTGGCTGACAACTCACAGTGCCCTAATCACAAGAAAATTGTCCTAGGTCCTAGAGTTACCTTACTAAGAGGATAGACTCCATCCATACACCTCATGCAATAATTGACTGGAAACAACACAAAAGTTGAGCCTCAATGTGAAATTATGCACTATAATGTGTGCGTCAGCCTTTCCCCCATGGGGTCATAGTGCCACTAGCCTCTAGCTATGACCCAATGCCTGCTTATCTTTTACCTCTGCTCTGCACTGCATCTTCACTCTTTTCCCTTGAGAGAAATCTGTCAATAAGTAATTTGAACAAGAATTTCTATCTTAGACTTAACCTACCAAAGAAAAATGGGAAGGTAGATTTCACTGTAGAGAAGGCTGATAAATTCATATTGAAATGAGGCACTCATGGAACATGAAGTCATAACTTCATTGAGGAGTGGTGTATTTGTGATTTATATATCAAGAAAGAGGTCTGATAGATGGGAATTTTAAGTATGTACATGATAGATAAACTCAATGTGTGTAGATGAGGTTACCTTAGGAAAGTATATAAAAAAAAAAGAAAAAGAAGAAGCTGTATCAGTGTTTAAAGAATGGAAAAACAAAGAACAACCTACATAAAAAACTTAGAAGGGAGGCCAGAGAAATAGAGAAAGATCTATTTAAATCAATATCATTAACACCACAAGATGTTCTTCAGGAACATGAGGTAAGTATCAGAGACATCAGGTAACATGAAGAAAATTATCTCGCTAACTTGATAATTATAATTATTAATTATAGAAAAATAGCATACAAACATGTTTAAACATAAATACACACAAACATGTACATACATGCATGAGTTGGATCTCTGTGTTTGCAGATTAAACTAATTACAAATCAAAAACATTTGAAAAAATTGCATCTGAACCGAAATTGTACAGACCTTTTTCCTATTGCTCTCTAAACAATACAATATAACAATTATCTACACTGTAGTGGACATTATGACTAATATAGTCATAATTTAAAGTATATGAGAGTCTTACAAAGGTTGGATATAAATATGCTTACATTTTATAGATGAGGCATGAGCATCCATAGATTTTGATATCTGAAGGATTCCTGAAATCAATTCCCTGTAGACAGTAAGGAGAACTCATTCTCTCTCTCTCTCTCTCTCTCTCTCTCTCTCTCTCTCTCTCCCTCTCCATATATGTATATGTAAATGTGAATATACACAGGCTTAGAATGTACTCAACATGGCATGAGTAGAAACAGGCTAGAATCTTAGATATATTTTAGAACTATAAATCACATAACATAATGTGAAAAGTCAAGAATGAAATCAAGATTATTATGTGGAATATAGGGAAGATGGCAGTCCATCTGTGGAAATGGAATATACTGTAAAACTTAGAATACAAGTTTTCAACAAGATAATCTGAGCTAAGCTTACATTAATCTTTGTGGGAATGGACGATATTGACTATCTAATTTGCCTACTAAGCAAAAAGCCGGACATTCATGACAATTATTAGTTCACTGCAGCCTAAACCAATTAAGGCAGACATGAAAACTCATAGCCAACATATGACAAGTTAGGCACCTTCTTTAAAGATGTCACATTCCCTTATGAACCAAGCAACCCAAACTACTGGGACTCTGGAACTCTGTTGAAAGAAAGAGTACAAACTGATTAAATCAGAGACTCCTAGCTATTCAACATAATTTTGTTTCCCTTTCTTACTGGACAGAAACCTAATTCACATTTTCTAGCCTCTCTCAAAACTAAGCATAGCAGTATGAATAAAGTCTAAGCTATAGACTATAAGAGGACATGACATGTGCCATTTCTAAGCTATGGCTTATAAGAAGAAAATATATTCCCTTGGGTAACGATTTTTCAATTCTGTGGATAAACACATATGTTACTAAGGCCAAAAGACATAGCAGAACCATAAGATAGCTATAGCTTAGGCCTCTGAACCACAATATTGCAGTAGGATTACCTGCCAACTAGAAATACCCCTCTTGTGCAATTTTTAGAATGAGAATTAAACTTCTACTGTGTTTATGGAATTAAAGGCTAGAATTATAGCTGTGTAGTTGAGAATGTGCTTTGCATGTTCAAGGCACTATCTTCAATCCTCAGTACCAAAAAGACATTAAATATGTGGGAATATATTTGCTATAACATCTGGCATTTTAATAGAGATAATAACACTGGAATGATTCAGACCTAGTACTCTACCTGAACTTTACAATTATCCTTCCTCAGCTACAAGCATTAGAAACTATTCCTTGTTAGAAACAAATAGATACCCTTCATGTTCTTCCAAGATTCTGGTAAAGATGGATAGAACGACTGGAACACCTTAGCAAAGTGAACAGTCACTAGGTAAATACTTCACCTCTTGCATAATACATAGTTGGCTACCACCAAAATTGCAAAGATTAAATGTGTCTTATCTCCTATATCTGACATAAAATCTTTAAGCATTTGGGATTGGAGAGATGGCTCAGTGGTTAAGAGCACTGGCTGCTCTTGCAGAGGACCCAGGTTCGATTTCCAGCACCCACATGGCAGATAACAACCATCCATAACTCCAGTTCCCGGGAATTCAATGCCTTCATCTGACCTCCACGGGAGTGAGAAAACACCGGTGCACTTACACATGCAGGCAATACAGCCATACACATAAAATAATAATAAAAAAATCATAAATAAAATATATTTTAAAAATCTTTAAGCATTCAACCTCCAAAGATATCTGAGTCAATTGCTGGCTAAGGAGATCATAAAGAAATCTTTAGCCACTTAAATGATCCTGGAATACTGTAACACCAGAATTAATTCTATCTGCCCTTCTACAATAGGTATAACATTATCCATTGATATATATTTTGGTTCCCATCATCCACTTCAGGCATCTCACAACCTCTGGCAATTCTAGTTCCACAGGATCTGGTGCCCTCTTCTGGACTCTGAAGTCACCTGCACTTATATGAAAGTCAGTGACATTTTTGATAATTTTGAAGAACTAGAATCATGATTAATAAATTTTAGGAGACAGGAATGTCAGCTGGTTTTCTCACACCGCATACTTTATAAGCTACTGAGCAGACTGTAAAGGAAAGACTAAAATCTCTTGTAGTTTCCCAATATTTAGGAAGCGAAGTCTCACTGAAAGATTGGTTGGCCTCTTCCTCAAGGTTTTGTCAAATTCGGAAGTAGAATAGGTTGAGATTAGAAGCAAAAGTGTAAAGACTAACATCTCAGAACTCTGTAGTTTTTCACGTGAAGACAGCATGTTTTCCTCAAAAAAATTTTTTTCAGATCACTACAAAAGGATCCAATCCTTGTAAAATGTATCATTAGTAATGTTCAGTAAGCAAAACAACCCTGAGACAATACAAATGTTGAATTCAAGAGAAAAGCACTTTAATGCAAACATTATAAATATATTGGGAACTGGATTCATGTCATAAGCAAATAAATATACAGGTATGGAAGAGTAATAGAGAAAACCAAGTTATACATATATGAACAGATGGAAAATGGGTAAAGTGAAAAATTCACTATATAGGCTTAAGAATCAAATAAGAGCAAATGAATTCAAGAGGAATCAAAAAAATTTTAATATTTTATTTTTATTTTATGCGTGAGTGCACTGCCTGCATGTGTGTAGTGCACTGGTGTCATGTAATGCCCATGGAGGTCAGAAGAGGGTGCCAGATCTCCTGGAACTGGAGCTACAGGTGGTTGTTAATCACCATGTGGGTGCTGGAAATCCAACCCAGGTCCTCTGCAAGAGCAGTCAGTACTCTTACCATTGAGGCATCTCTCCAGTAGGGGCTGAGATTGAAAATTTTAAAATCTCAAGAACAGAAGGAAATATTGGGGGAGGGGGATGAATAGGGTCAGGTGGCAGTAGTGTAGTATTAAGCACATCTTTAATTTAAGTCCCACAGGACATAAAAGAGAATGAGGCAGAAAAGAAATATTTAGAGAA